GCAGGTGGACTAGCTGCAACCAGTCGCCCATTTCTTAGCTCAGAAGGGGGAGGCTGGCTGGAGTTCGTGGGCTGGCCTTTCGCTTGGCTCTGGTTAATGTTTCTCGTACTGGCCTTCCTGCGGCATCCCTGGCGCCGAGAAGAGCTAGAACTGACAAGCCGCAGTACGGACTCCTCTCGCCCTCCTCCCTCTTCGTCTTATTTTTCTTTTGTGTCATATGTTTCTTGTTATTCTTCTTACGAGTATTCTTCTTTTTCTTCTTATCATCATTCTTAATACTCTTATTCTTGATATCTGTATTATTATCATTTTTCCTCCTCCTCCTCCTCCTCCTTCCCCTCTTGCCCTCCTCCCAGCTTGACCACGTACTCCCAGTTTGAAATGAGTATAACATCCAGAGCTGGCTCGAACACTTTCATCGCCGATGTATTGCCAGCCTTGAGGAGCCTGTCCCAGCCTCCTTGCCCGTTTGTGGAGAGCTGCCTTTGGAAATCCTTAAGAGATTTTCTCTTGACTTGAGGTCCGAGTGCACACGTAGGCGTCCGATCATATGCCTGCCAGGGTAGGTCGTCGGGCCTCGTCACCGTCGTCGTCGTCGTATCGTATCGTATCGTATCGTATCGTATCGTATCGTATCGTCGGGTCGGCGGATCGGGAGGGAACGCGCCGATTTCTGTCAGATTCGAGGGCCCACGATTTGGCGTTTCCGAGTGCCACCCATACCGAATTGCATCCCGGTCGCACACGCACACGTGAGCGCGGGAGCCACCTCTGACAGGTTCGGGCAGATACCTCCTCCACGCTGCCCCCGCGAGGGGCACAAGACGGCGACAACGACAACGGCGAGGGCGACGGGGGCGAGGGCGACGGTGGCGGCGACGGCGACGGAAATCCGCTCAAATCTGCCCCCCGGAGCCTTCTTCACAGGGCCCGTCCATCCTGATCAGTTGTTCGAGCCGCCTCCAGCCGCGGAGACGAGACGCTCCAGAGATGCCCAGACACCTCCACAGGCAGCGGTGACGGCCACGACGGCCACGACGGCGACGGCGACGATGCTGACGACGATGGCGACGACGATGGCGACGACTGCCCCGGCGGCGGCGGCGACGACGACGGCAACGACGTCGCCGGTGCATGCGACGACGGCGGCGACGGCGACGAGCACGGTGGCGGCGACGTCGACGATCGCGCGCAGGTTGCTGCGGCTCGGCGCGGGACCCGGCCAGGCCGAGGGTGAGGCCGAGCAGCCGCTGATGCTCTGCGAGAGCGGAGCGGCGGGGCGTTGTGCCGCGCGGGAGCTCTTCGAGAGCCCGGAGGCGCGCGGCCGACGACCGTCGTCGCTGCCGCCGTCGTCGCGCCCCTGCGCGGTAGGAGGAGAAGGAGGAGGAGGAGGGGGAGGAGGAGGAGGAGGAGGAGGAGGAGGAGGAGGAGGAGGAGGAGGAGGAGGAGGAGGAAGATGAGGAGGAGGAGGAGGAGGAGGAGGAAGAGGAGGAGGGAGGAGGAGGAGGAGGAGGAGGAGGAGGAGGGGGAGAGGAAGGAGGAGGAGAAGAAGGAAAGGGAGGAGGAGGAGGAGGAGGCGGAGGAGGAGGAGGAGGGGAGTCCCCACACTCCTCCTCCTCGGAGGAGGAGGAGGAAAGGGAGGAGGAGGAGGACGAGGAGGAGGAGGAGGAGGAGGAGGAGGTGGATCGCCGAGGGCGGCGAGAAGGCTGCGCGACATCGCGCGGTGCGCCGATGCCCCCGCCACCACGCCGCCCCTCGGGGCCTCCTGTCGGCCGCCGGAGGTGTACAACGTGGCGGCCGAGAGCCTGATGCAGGCGGGGCGGGGGCGGAGAGGACGCCACGGGATCCTCCCGCTCCTCCTGCTCCTTCTGTGGCTGCGCCTCCTCCCTCCTCCTCCTGCTGCTCCTCCTCCTCCTCCTGCTGCTCCTCCTCCTCCTCCTGCTCCTCCTCCTCCTCCTCCTCCTCCTCCGCCTCCTCCTCCTCCTCGTCCTCCTCCTCTTCCTCCTCCTCCTCCTCCTCCTCCTCCTCCTCCTCCTTCGCCTCCTCCGCCTCCTGCTCCTCCTCCCCCTCCTCTTGAGCCTCACGATATGGTGCGTGGCGCTGAACCCGATCCTGGCGAGGTTCGAGCAGGCATTCAAGCTGCACCCGCACTCCTCCCTCACTGCCTGCGCTGACGACATCGGCCTCATGGGGGAGTCGGGTGTGCTGCTGCGCAAGGTCCGCGCCAGTTTCACGGCCATGGAGGCGCTGACGGGGCTTCGCCTCAACTTCAAGAAATGTGTGGCCGTGCCGCTGCGTGACGCCTTCTCGGACTCGATGCTCGCGGAGTTCCAGGCGTGGTTCGAGCACCATGCGGAGTGGAGTGACTTCGCGGTCGAGTCCTTCACAAAGGAACGGGCATGATGATCGGGTTTGGAGCTGATGCCCAGTCCTGGGCGATGCCGTTTTACAAGTTTAAGCGTCGCGTGGCAGAGCTGGCGGCGGTGGGTGCTCCGACCTCCACTTCGCTTGCCATGCACCGCACTTGCGCCTTCAGCACCCTCGGTGCCCTCGGCTCCATGGGGCATCCCCGAGGGCAAGATCTCCCGCGGCGTGGAGCACTGGGCCATCCACAAAGTTCTACATCTACCAGCCACATGCGGCTCGCGGGACGTCTTCTTGGGTCAGGGCAGCTGGTCGCTCATGAAGGTCCCCACCATGATGGTCTCGGCCCTGAGCTCCGGCTTGCGAATGGCCTACGACACGGTCCCGCAGTGAAAGGAGTGGCTGGCCAGGCTGCGTTCCGTGGCCGAGGAGTACGGCGGCCTTGACTCGCTGCCGCGCGCTTTAGCGGGTGTGTCGCCTCCGTTCTGGCGCAAGCAGGCCATCGCGACACACCTGGAGGAGGCGGCGACGGCACTCCCACCCATCCCGCAGTACAACAAGGCTGCTGCCAAGGCCATCGTCTCCTTGGGCCAGGACACCGAGACCTGAGCGTTGCCGCCGGGTGCCGCTTGCCCAAGAAAGTACGCACGCAGCGAGTCGTAGCCAGATCTCTCCGAGCCAGCCTGAGCCCCGACATCGTGCCTCCTGTGATTTTCCAGAGGCTCTCGAAGTGGATTCCGAAAGGTGGGCTTGACACGATACATGTAGGCGAATCTAAGCCTTTCAAAGTGTTGTAGGCAAGACCCTTCTAGGAGCCTGGACGACCTTCCATCGGCTGCCGATTGTAGAGCGTCGCTGCCTTCCTTTTCGGTGCCCGTGCCAAGGGGATGACCAGGAGCACTACCTCCCCTACGGGCCCTCCGGATCCTTCTCTCTGAGGGCGGGAGTTGACCCTCACTTGGCTGCTTCACTGGCAGTGCGCCTGGAACTCGTGCCTGCGAAGCTGTGCGATGACACCAGAATTAGGGTCGTCACGTTTTCTAAACAGATCACTCATGCAAAGATTTGGATTCCCGAAACCGTGATCTAGGATCTAGGGGATGAGGCAACTTCCCGTGTCGCCCTCAAGTTAGCTTGATTGCAAGTCGAGTTTGCGAAACCCAGGGCTCGAGTCGCTTTTCTCCAAGCCCAGCAGCGCGCTCCCGCGTCATCATCGTCTCGGCCCCTGGACGGGCCTCCTGAGCCACGAGCCATCGTCTTCCTCCTCCTCCTCCTCCTCCTCCTCCTCCTCCTCCTCCTCCTCCTCAACAAAAGAGTCTGTCGTAACTACACACACGCACACTGAACTTGCCGCGCGCCGCGACGAAAAAGTGGGGGACGAACTTGAAGTAGTTGTGCCCCTGTTCCTCCTCCTCCTCCTCCTTCTGACCCTGCCCCTCCTCCTCCTCCTCCTCCTCCTCCTCCTCCTCCTCCTCCTCCTTCTCCTCCTCCTCCTCCTCCTCCTCCTCCTTCTCCTTCTCCTCCTCCTCATCCTCCTCCTAACCCCTCCCTCCTCCCCCCTCCCCCCCCCTCCTCCTCCTCCTCCTCTCCTCCTCCTCCTCCTCCTCCGCCTTCTCCTCCTCCTCCTGCTCCTCTCCACCTCCTCCTCTCCTCCTGACCCTCCCCCTCCTCCTCCTCCTTCTCCTCCTCTTCCTCCTCTTCTTCCTCCTCCTCCTCCTCCTCCTCCTCCTCCTCCTCCCCGCCCTCCCTCCGTCCCTTCCTCCCTTGGCGCCACGGCATCGGGGGTGTGGGATGTGGTGGTGGGTGGGGGGCTCTTCCTCGCTACGCCTGCCTCTCCAACCCCCTGGCTCCGAATCCGCCCTACAGTCGGCCCAGATTTCGTAGTCGGTCGACCCTGCCAAGTAAAGGGTACCTTTGTGCCCTGCGTCTCGCGACCCATGCCTCCTACGTTCCTACATTCCTGTGGCAACCTGGCCCTTGGAAGGGTCTTGTGTCCTCTCGCGCGTCCTGTCCAATCAAGCCCCATTGTACTTCGGTCGATTCCCCAACCTGGAAGGGTGTCAGGCTGTCGGAGAAGGCAGCCCGAACAATGCGAAACAGTAGCGCGGGACATTCAGCCTCGAAGCAGCAGGGCGGCTCTTCCCGCAGGGGTAGAGCGGAAGCGACATCGACGCCAAAGGAGCCTGAGAAGTAGGGCGGGCATTCTCGCCCCACCTGCCAGATCGCCAAGGGTGCGGCGGATCCGGAGTCCGTGATCTCCCTTTTCGGGCTGACCCAAAAGGGGGTCCAGCGACAAAGGGGTGGTGTAATAGATTTGGTGCAATAGATTTGTTGGGTTGCAGTAGAGCTGGGGCGTGCAATACTTTCCGGGGCGCCAATGTATGGCTGGGCTTTCGCGTGCAATGCATTAGTTGCAGTACACTGCAATAGAATTCTCCGGCGCAATAAATTTGCAATACAATGGCCCCAAATCTATCGTTTCCGCCAGTACCTCCGCGGGCTGGCGGGGACGCAGGGGCGAGGGGGGGGGGGGCACCCGGGGGCACGCAGGTCGGCCGCCAGCTGCTGGCGCAAGAGGACAGGCAGGCCGTCTGGGCGGCGGTGGCCTCCGGCTTCAGGAACGTCACCGTCCGGCTGGAGGACCGCGCCCCGCAGGAGCCGAGGGGTTCGGCAGCAAGTCATGGGAGCCTGGCGTACCCTCTCGATTCCGTCTCTAGCGTCGATTAGCGTCTTGGTGTCGATGAAATGTGCCGATTTGGCGTCGATGTAGCGTCGATCTAGCGTCGATGTAGCGTCGATGTAGCGTCGACCAGCGTCGATCCGCAAGAGCCGACGAGCTGGTATGGGAGGCTCCCGTGAGTTGCCGCCGAAGCGGGGGTTCGGGGCGCGATCCCTGGCCCCCAGACTTCCGCTTCGGGCTTTCGAGGCCTGAGGTTTTCGGACGTCCTCGTCGGTCCCCCGCGACGTTTCCAGCCTCGGGGCGCCTTGCAGCAGCTGCGCCTCGCCGAAAGCGCTCTGGGTGTGGCTTGGCTCGTCCCAGTCGGCCGCCAGAGGTCCCAGCTGGGGCCCGAAAACTACTCGGAGCCCAGAGGTCCAGCGCGAAACGGCTCGAGGAGGAGGCTTCTCGTCGTCGACGGCGTCTGGGGCGCCCCGCGCCAGACCCCGGAGGGAGGGCGCCAGAGCACGGCCCGGGACGACGAGCCGGGCTGGCCGGGAAGTGGTGCAGAGCTCCGGAGGCCCCGTTTTCGAAAAGTCAGCATCTCGGAGGTCCGGTTAAGGGAAGGTGTGGAGCAACACGCCCCCCCTCTCCCCCGCAATGCAAAGTTGGCACGTCCCTTGAAGACCACTCGGAGGCCCAGAATCGGAATATCCGAAACCAACACTGCATCTGGAGGGAGGGGGGGAGAGTTCAAACCATCTGTTCTGCATGAGTGTTGCCTCATTGTTTCCGACACCTGTCTGGGCAGCCGCGACCTGGGGGAGCTTTTGTCCTTGCCGCCCCCTCGCGGACCCGCCCCCCCGTCTTCGAGGGGGACTCCAGGCCTCCCAGGTAGGATCCGAGCAGGTGGGGTCGGAGGATCGCGCCGCACCGCCGATGCGGCTCGATGCGGAGCCCGATGTTCTCCACGCCGTCGGCGGCGATGCACACCGACGTCGCCGATGCATCGCCGACGCACCGCCCGATGCGGCGCGCTCTTCCGACCCCACCTGCTCGGATCCCATGTGGCAGGCCTCGGGAGATCGTCGACACGATGGGCCTGCACATGAACAGTAGATTCGAACATATTCGAACACTGCGGCGCAAGATGCCCCCCCAAATCACGATTGATGGTGCGGCAATGTACGGTAGGTTCACGCCGTCTCGACTGGCGGCGACTCCGCCTGGCGTTCAAGGTTGAACGACGCCAGCGACAAAGCATCGGCCCATCGTGGAACGATCGGACGTTAAAGAAACGACCGATCGTTCAAGGCTGAGCGATCCCCGCGGTGTCAGGAACCAACGCCGAGGTCGGCACGACACGAACCTGCCGTTAGGGGACCCGAGTGGTCCGAACGATTCGAGCCCCACAGCCGTCAACCGTGCTGAAATCAACATCGGTTTCGGGGGCGGGGCGTGAAGCCCGGCGGAAGCTCGGCGGGAGGCCCGTGGAGGTCGGGGGAGACCCCCCCCGGGAGAGGTGTGGGTTCTGAGATTTGGGCGTGGCATGGAGTCGGGCCTCTCCCTCTACAGGGGGGATATCCAAAAACAGTCCAAAAATAGTCTAGGGACGATTTTTGTTAGTATTTGTTTTGCTTTTTTTGAGTAGTGTTTGAGTATTGCTTATTCTTCGTCGACAATGGGCCTGTCGGGGGACATACCCGACCTAAGCGTGGCACCTTTTGAAGCCTTGGGCCATTTCACCTGGCTTCGGGCCCCATGAGCATCATAGGTCGCCCCGGCTCGGCAAGCGCCGCAGAAGGATTGGGTCTGGGGCTCCGGTCGCGATTTTTCGCGATGTTTCAATTGATCCGCCACGTCGAGCCTCAGGGAATGCTGACGTACCCCGGGTTGCGACGTCGACCAGGGTTGCCAGCGGGGTTGATGCGAAGAGCTATATGGGCCAACCCCTCCATGAGCTTCTCGTTCTCCAGCCCCCGAGGAGGAAGAGGAGGAGGTCAAAGCGGAGGAGGTTCGGATATTCCCCCCTCTCGTGGCCATCTGCCAGCCCTTGTGTTCTTGCTCGGAGGGTCCAGGGCCATCCAATGTGGATGTTTGAGCAACCCCGGACGGATGGCGGCCTCCTGCACCCTGGACGTCAGATCATAGATTTGAGAGTCTCCGTGCCCTCCGTGCATCACCACAGGAGGGCTTTGGTGTGCCGAGTGGAAGGTCGCCTATGCCTTTCTGCTCTTTGCAAGACTTCTTCACAGGCGTTCGCGGCAAAGATTGCGCTCAAACGCCTTTCTAAACAGGCAGAGGGCGGGGACGGGGCAGCGAGGGCAAGGCAGAATCCTCCCCAGATGATCCTAAGCCTGCAAGACGAATATATAAGAGGAACTGAGATGCCAGAAGGCAGGTTCGACCGATGGGGGCACATCCCTCATAAAGTGATCCCCTAGATGCAGACATGCAGCAGTTCTTGGGCGTTTTGGCCCAAGCCTTTCGCTAAAGCGCTGCCTTCTCGTCTGGGTGGGAGAACCTCCCACCGAGTTTCATCGCCCCAGTCCCTCCGTGGAAGAACTCATGGCCGCCCGCAAGCCCGCGGCCAGCCTGGCGGACTTCATGGAGGCTGTGGCGCGCAGGCACCAGGCAGACCCACCAGCGAACTACGGATACAAGGCCGCCGTCGGTGAGTTCAACATCGGCTTCTATTTGGAGACCCGAACCGGCGTCAAGGTGCTGGAGAAGCCCATCCACCATCCTCGGATGTTGCTAGAAGTGCCTCTGGCCCAGGATGCCCGCAGGATTCTCGGGGTGGCCTAGACGGCCTCCCGAGCACCCCTCACGAGGCCCAGAGGGTCCCAGGGGCTCCAAAACTCAGCGAAAAGCTGGGACACTTCTAGAAACACCCGACATGTTCGAGTGGGGGATCGACTACAGAATTGATTCAGCCCTAAGTTGATGTTGCAGAATGCTCCGTAGATCTACGGAACATTCTACGTATCCGTAGACTCGACGACAGAAAATGATTTCGGAGTGAATCAATTCTGCAGCCCCTCCCCCGCTCGAGAGGTGCTGGAGAAGCCCATCACCATCCCCTCCGGCAAGCCAGACTACCAGGGATACATGATCCTCTTTGCGTACTGCGCCCAGGGCGGCGTCGAGCACCTCCTCAGCGGCAACCTGCCCGAGCAGCTGCCCGCCACGGGCTGGGCCCCCTGCCAGTTCGCGTCGAAGGCTCGGGGGCTCGCAGAGGGGGGGGTCCCAAGGTGAGGTTCAGGAACGAGCCCAGCTGGCTGCTCAGATTCTCTTCTGTCCAGGAACCGCTTCGAGCAGCGATTTTCCTCCCCACCGCGCCTCTGCCCCTACCCCACCGGTGCGCCCCCCCGAAAGGAGGACATCGGCAAGAGCTTCGGCAACAAGGACCCGAAAGCGTCGGCGAAGGCTGGGGCCTCCGACTACTGCGTGGCCTTCCGGGTGCCGGCGCAGCTGGCGACGCAGGTGATCAGAGGATGAAGAAATACCGTTACCGCTGCCCTTCCCTTGTTCTCCCCTTTTCGGGCCTCCTGGGAGGCCCTCGTTGCCATGGCTGGATTCGCTTCGAAATTCTGGTCAGAATGCAACCCAGGAGAGCTCAGGGGAGCAGCGGCATTGGCATCTTTTGGGTTCCCCAGGTGAAGGGCCTGTCAGACGACTACGACCTCTGGCTCATCCGCATGGACCAAAGCGTTGTCATGCCATTCCTGCAGGCGGTGAAGGACGGCAACGCCGAGGCCGTCAACAAGGGCATCCAGGGCGGCATAGACGCCAAGACGGTGGACGAGGACTCGATCCCGGCCCTGATGATCGCCGCGAACTCTGGCAGCCTGGAGACGTGCCAGGTGCTGCTCCAGGCGGGCGCGGACCCGAACGGCGCCGAGCCGTTCAACAGCAAGACGCCGCTGATGACCGCGGCGCAGGCCGGTTCCACGGAGATCGTGGAGCTGCTGCTCGCCAGTGGCGCAGATCCCGGCATGGTGGACAGCGAGGGGACGACTGCACTCATGTGGGCGGCCGTGGCCAACAAGGCGGAGACCGCGAAGCTGCTGGAGGCCAAGGGTGGCGCGGAGAAGACGAACAACGAGGGCCTCACCGCTGCCGCCATCGCGCAGAAGATGGGGCACAAGATCTGGTGACCGTCGCGTTTTGGAGAGGCTGGGCGGTGGTGGTTGCTCCGCGGGGGGATTTCACTTTGAAGGTATAGCCGTCTTGCGGTCTGCTTCGTGGGCAGGCCGCGGGGCTTCCCGCACGCGCCTTTTGAACCCTAGACGCGCGCCGCTACGAGCACAATGCTGCCGATGTCCTCTTTCGTTTTGGCGGTGCCGTTGGCCCTGCAACACCCACTTTAATCGCAAGTAGGGTGTATTGGAAATGTGACTTTGACGCACCTGCACGCTGCTTGTGCTCTAAGCGGTATCTGCAGGACTGCCTTAGACAATGGCATAGGCGGCGTGCATCGGTTCGGATTCTCCACCGACTTCCCATGCGAGTGTGTTTCTCTCCCTTGTTCCCGTCTGGTCCTATAGCCCAACAGAGCGCGTGGGTGTGCGCAACGGCGTGGCACAGGCGCAAGAGAGTCGCCTGAGCTCAACGCCAGCACAAGCTGGTGCTCAATCGAATTTTGGCCATATTCTCCTATCGGATGGCAGCGTCAGAAATTCTGACTCTTCAAGCCAAGTGTGTTCTTCGCTGGTGATAGAGAAAAAATATGCAGACGTCCGGGCACGAAGAGTTTAGACTTGTGTGTTGGGTGATCCATCATGATTGACGCGTTTGCCTCGATGGCCGGCGAATGTGCGAAGATTGTCCAGAATTTTCCGGTTCAGCGTGTCGTATTGCTGGTTATGGCCCACCACACTTCTGACGGGCCGATGTTCTACCACCGCTACCATAGGTAGGAGAGGGAGGAGGAGGAGGAGGAGGAGGAGGAGCACCCCATCCTCCCCTCTCCCCTGTCCTACCTGTGGTAGCGGTGGCGGAGGTCGGTCCACCACGCTTCGGTGCGACTCGCTCTCCACGCCCCGGTCGCCAGGCGTCAGCGCCTCGAGCTTGCTCCCAGCCGTCCCGCCGCCCGCGGTGCGGAGCGGCACGCTGCATCCGCTCGCAGGGCACAGCGCGTCGCCGGAGCAGTGCCGCCACGGCACGCTCGAGCAGAAGCTCAGGAGGGGAAAACACGCCCAGACACGAATCGTCTTCGATTCCCCAGAAAATTTGGAACGCATGGGCAGTGTAGGCGAAGACGAGCACCCCGAAAATGTGGGAACTGTGTGGGGGGGATCCTGGGACTTGGGTCTGTCTGTCTGTGCATCCCTGGGCCCCTTCAGGAGTTGCTGACCGTCAGACTGCACACGGATGCGCACACGGGTGCACGGGGGGTCGGCGCAGCGCAGAGCTGTTCCGTGAGCCAGCACAGTCTGCGCCGCCCTCGATATGTCGGCACACCCTGGCGCCTGCGGGCAGCCTGCCGGGGGAGAAGTCGGAGTAGGGGGAGGGAGGGGTGGGTGCAGGTTCCCAGAGACGCCCACCTCTCGCCAGTCACGCTTTGTCGGAGGATCAGGGGGTCATGATGATGATGCGTTCCAAGATTCCCCGGATGTCCTGATGTTCCACACGGACTGCATAAGTTCGGGCGGGTGGTAATACGGGGTGGCCTAGATAGGGAAAGCGCGCCAGAGGATGGCCCGCAGAACCCCCCCCCTCCCACCCTTCAAAGGGGGGGTGAGATTTTCGACCCCACCCCCCCCTTGAAGGGGGGGGGGGGGGGGAATCGGGACCCCCCCCCTCCCCCTTTGGCGCTGGAAAGGGGGGGAGGGGGTTCGACCCCCCCCCCTCCCCCCCTTGGCGCCGAACAGGGGGCTGGGGAGGGGGCATGTCGGGTAGTGAGTAGGGAGTAGAATGTTTTGAGTAGCGATTGGTGAGTAGTGGGTATTTGATAGTGAGTAGTGCGCAGTGAGTCGTGAGTAGTGGGTAATGGGTAGTGGTCGTAGTGAGTAGCGCGTAGAGATTAGTGAGTAGTGAGTAGTGGGGAGTGAGTAGTGTGAAGGAAGTAGTGAGTAAGGAATTATGAGTAGTGAGTAGGGAGGAGTGAGTAGTATGTAGTCAGTAGTGCATAGTGAGTAGTAAGCAGGGAGTAGGGATGAGGGAGTAGACAGTAGCGAATAGCGAGTAGTGCGTGGTGAGGAGTGAGTAGTGAGTAGTGCGCAGTGAGTAGAGAGTAGTGAGTAGTGAGTGGTGAGTAGCGAATAGCGAGTAGCGGGAGTAGCAAGTAGGGAGTAGCGAGTAGTGAGTAGTGAGAAGCGAGTAGGGCGTTGTGAGTTGTGAGTAGTGAGGAGGGAGTAGTCAGGAGTCACTAGTGCGTAGTGAGTAGGGTGTAGTGCGTAGCGAGTAGGGACTAGCGAATAGTGAGTATTGAGTAGTGATTTGTGAATTGTTTGGGAGTAGTGAGTACGGAGTAGGTAGTAGTGAGTAGTGAGCAGTGGGGGCGTAGTGAGTAGTGAATAGTGCGTATTGGGTAGCGAGTAGGGCGTAGGGAGTAGCGAGTAGTGAGTAGTGAGAACTTTGTAGGGAGTAGGGAGTGGCGAGTAGCGAGTAGTGGATAGTGAGAACTGAGTTGTCCGTAGGGAGTAGTGAAGTGTGAGTAGTGAGTAATGGACAGCGGTTAGTGGGTAGCGAGCAGCGATTTGTGATTACTGAGTAGTGGGTAGTGAGTTGTGTTTGGTGAGTAGTGAGTATTGGGTTGTGGGTAGTGAGTAGTGAGTAGTATGTAGTGAGTAGTGGGTAGGGAGTAGGGAGTAGGGAGTAGTGAGTAGTGCGTCGTGGGTAGCGAGTCGTGGGTAGTGAGTAGTGAGTCGTGAGTAGTAAGTAGTGTTTGTGAGAAGTGAGTAGTGAGTAGCGAGTAATGAGTTGTGGGTAGTGAGTAGTAGTGCGTAATGAATAGTGAGTGCTGTTTGGGGCTTGGGTTTGGGTTTGGGGTTAGGGTTAGGGGTTAGGGTAAGGGTGAGGATTAGTGTCAAGACCCCCTCCCCGCCCGCAAGCCGTCTCGCTCACTCCCACCCGCCCTCCCAACAAGTGTGAGGGGTGGTAGGGGTCGGGTTCCGGAGACCGGGGGCGCCGTGGCGAAAGGGGGCGAGGGGGGGGGGTCGAATTTGGCGGGCGTATGGGGGGTTCGGACCCCCCCTTTTTGAAGGGGGGGGAGGGGGGGGGGGTCCCCGACGACGGACCTGGAAAGGGGCGGGGGGGGGGGTCCCCGAAGACGGATCGGGAAAGGTGGGGAGGGGGGGGGGGGGTCCCCGACGACGGATCGGGGAAAGGCGGGGAAAGTGGGGGAGTGTCCCCCCCCCCCCCCCTTCCGTGGGAGCATCCAGCGGCGCGCCCTTCCAGGGGATGGGGAAAAGTGCCCTAAAGGAGCACTTTAGGCTTCAGGGCCCCTTTGGGGCCCCTGCTGGCTCCAAACGGGGCCCGAAAGTGCCCCCCATTAGGGCCCTGTGCTTCACCCCCCAGGTAGGTCACCCCCCATTGCCACCCGCCCGAGAAACGCGGGCCGCTAGATGATCCAGAAATCCTGAAACGTAGCCTGAGCCAGTCGCATCATGACATCATTATCGTCCTAGTTTGGTCTCCCGTGCCCAGACCTCCGACGTCTCTTTTTCAATGCTGGCTCCTCGGAGCTCTGGACCACTGCCCCGGGACTGGCTTTCTGTCCCAGATTGTTATTTGATGGTCCTGGGGCCCTCCCCAGACGCCAACAAAAAAACGAAGAAACGTATCCGTCTTTCTTTCTCCAACACGTTGGATGTTTGGGGCAGGTTGCTCGAGACCTGGACGCGATCCGCCTGACCCGGGCCCAGAAGATCGCGGTCCTGGCGTCGATGAGGCTGGTGAGCTTGCCCCAGGTGGGCGACGGGAGCAAACGTGATCGACTGCACGGACATTCGCTCGTAGTCTTCCCTCGTAGGGCCGCTCGTAAGCGCTCTCTTCTGCCCACGGTGTGCCACGCTTGCAGCCCGCATAAGCCATGCTTTGAGGTCCGACGTGGCGAAATAATTGCGACCTCGCGGGAAATCACGACTGGAGCCCTGGACCCATCTTTCTATTGCATTTTTGAGCCAGATCGATGTGTGATGGCCCTGGGGCCCCCGAGACCGGGCGAACACGCCTGATGAAAAAGTTGCAGTGTCCTCGGGAGGCGTAAGGCGCCGTCTCGCGTGAGGCCCGTTTCTCTCGTCGCCCAGGTTCAGCGCGTCGGGGTTGCTGTTGCGGAGGCGATCCGGGACAGCGGCTGCACGGCGAGGGAGTGCGTGCAGCGCAGCATCGAGGCCAAGCTGCAGCAGGACGAAGGTTGGGCGTTGGAAAACCCACGGCTCCAAGCCCAGGTCTCCGACGCATTGAATAAATCAAGACGGAGTTTTTTCTTCGATTTTGGCGTTTGGCGGCCCTCGCCAGACCCCTGGACCCTCGAAAAACGGTCTGGGACGAAAAACCTGTTCTCGGGAAGTTGTCCAGAGCTCCGGGGATCCCGTATTGAAGAAATCCAGACATCCGAGGTATGGGAGGAGGTAGGAAATCCAGGGCTCTGGGCGTTGCATGTTTTTCACACCAGGCGTTTTCGCCTGGTTTCGGGCCCCGGCGGAATCACAGATCGATCCGGCTCGAAAGATGCAGCAGAAAGATGGTGTTTAGGTCTTTGGTCGCAATTTTCCGCGATCTTGCAATTCTGTCGCAGCGTGATCTCAGGGAAAACCCAGGGCTCAGTGTGCTGGCCGGACCGGAGGATGTGTAGGACGTGCACCCACAGAGACGTGGAGAAATGGGAAGCCCGGACTTCGATTTGCCGTATTGTAGTGGCCTTCGGCCAGTGCCGCCGATCCGGGGCGCTCCGACTGATGTGATCCTTCTTCGCCCTCGTCCCTCCTCTCTTTTTCCCTCCCCTCCTCTCACTCAGCATTTATCGAAGACGCCTACGGCGAATCACCGCCGCCCCCTGCCTTTTTGGAAGCGCCTATGTGGCCGAACGTTGAGGCCAGACCTGCCAAGCTATCGGACCACGTGTTCCCCGAATCGGTTTGGAAAGCCTTCGGGGAACACGTGGGCATCTTGAAGGTCATCTTGGCCGTCTTGGAGGCCTCTTGGGCAAGCTTTGGGCGATCTTTGGGGCTTTTTGGGCCGTCTCGGGCCAGCTTCGAGCCAACTTCGGCCATCTTGGTGGGTTCCTGGCACGTCTGAAGCCGTCGGAAGCCGTTTGGGGGGCCTCTATGGGCCGACTTGGGGCCCGCTTGGAATGCTCCAGGGCCGTCTTGGAGGCCATCTTGGGCGTCTGGGAGGCCATCTTGGGCGTGTTGGAGGCCTCTTGGGCCCTCTTGGGGCCCTCTAGGGGCCATCTTGGAGGCCACTTGGGCCATCATGGGGCTCTCTTGGGGGCCTCTTGGGCGATCTTGGGGGCTTCTTGGGCCGTCTCGAGCCGTCGGAGAGCCGAAAAGGCGCAAATGCCAGAATCCTTCAAAAACCAATGAAAAATCAATGATTTTGGCCTCTTCGGACTCTCCTGGAGGACCTCTTGGAGGCCTCTTGGGCCGTCTGGGAGGCCTCTGGGGGGCCTCTTGGGCCGTCTTGGGCCGTCTTGGACTCTCTTGGGCCGTTTTGGAGGCCGTCTTGGACCATCTCGGGCGGACTTGGAGGCCATCTTGGGCCATCTTCGCGATTTTTTGAGGATGTCCCGAGCGAAACGGCCGTTTTTTGGAGGATTTTTTTCCGGATTGAGGTCCTTTCGGCTTCCTCCCGGGACCCCGGCGGGACGGGCCGGAGCCCACTGGGGAGTTCTTTTAGAAAAAGAACCAAAACCAAAACCTGAAACATCCAGCACGCCGTGCACCCCTGCAAGCAGGGGGCGGCGGATCCAGTGGCCGTCGGCCTATCCCGCCACCGTGCGTGGGTGGTGGGTCAGAGGCCTCATGGATGCTGGTTGGGATCTCGTGGTTGGCTGGGACTTCTGGGGGCCTCTTGGGCGCCTCTTGGGGCTTCTTGGGGGCCTCTTGGGCCTCTTGGGGCCACTAGAGGGCCTCTTGGGGGTCTCTTGGGAGCCTCTTGGGGCTTCTTGGGGGCCTCTTCTGCGCCCCTTGGGGCCTCTTGGAGGCCTCCTCGGAGCCTCTTGGTGCGGGAGGGGTGGTACTCGAGTTCGGAACCCCCTCGGAGGCCACGATCCTTGTGAGGGGTGTCAAAAAACGCATCCGCCGGAAACTCGCACCCCCCCCCCCACCCCACCCCCCCTTCCCCGGCAGAGCCACCCCGGCACCCCCCCCAGAGGCTGAGGCTCAGCCTCGAGGCTGTAGCTGAGACTCCTTGAAACTCACACGCCGGATCGGCGGATTTGAGTTGATTATCCGACTGGAAATCGTGTCGGACATGGACTCCGTAGGATGCCAAACCGTAAGGCAGAAATCTTCGGAGTTTTGTTTCCGTCGTAGTTTTGTCTAAAGTTTCACCTTGTGGAGCATGGCGCAACTTTGTGAGACATGCCGCAACTCGGTAGACAGTCTCACAAGTCGTTCCACAATGAAGGGCGGAAGCAGCAGCAGAGGAGCTCGAAACGCAGGGCGGACACTTCGGCCCTACCTGCGAAATCGCCTGAAGCAGGGCGGATCGAGAGTCAGGGAACCCAGCATCTGCACCCCCTAGGGCAAGGCGCGGGGGAGGTGGAGGAGAGGGAGGATGAGGAGGAGTAGGAGGAGGAGGAGGAGGAGGAGGAAAAGGAAAAGGAGGAGGAGGAGGAGGAGGAAAAGGAGTAGGAGGACGAGGAGGAGGAGGAGAAGGAGGAGGAGGATGAGGAGGAGGAAAGGACAGGGAAAAGAAAAAGGAACGGGAAAAGGAAAAGGATGATGAGATGATGATGATGATGATGATGATGATGATGATGATGATGATGATGATGATGAGGAGGAGGAGGAGGAGGAGGAGGAGGAGGGGGAGGAGGAGGAGGAGGAGGAGAGGAGGACAAGGAGGACGAGGAGGACGAGGAGGAGGAGGAGGAGGAGGAGGACGAGTAGGAAGAAAAGGAAAAGGAGGAGGAGGAGGAGAAGGAGGAGGAGGACGAGGACGAGGAGGAGGAGGAAAGGAAAGGAAAAGGATAAGGAAAGGGAAAAGGAAAAGGAGGAGGAGGAGGAGAGGGAGGTGGAGGAGGAGAGGAGGAGGAGGAGAAGGAGGAGGAGGAGGGGTAGGAAAAGGAAAAGGAGGAGGAGAAAGAGGAGGAGGTGGAGGAGGAACAGGAAAAGGAGAGGGAAGAGGAGGAGGAGGACGAGGAGGAGGAGGAGGAGGAGGAGGAGGAGGAGGGGGAGGAGGAGTCAGGGGAGCCTTCAGAGCCACTGGGCCCCCTGCCCCCCGGCGGTCTGCCTCCGGCCCTGTTCGGCCAGCCGTGCCGAGGGCGCCTGCGCGCGCTCAGCGGCGAGCTGGCGCCGGGCTCGCTCCAGCAGCTGTGGAGCCGGGGGCGCCACTGGGAGACGACCCGCAGCGCCCGCCGGTCGCGGGGTCCTCCTCCTCCTCCTCCTCCTCTTTCTCCTCCTCTACCGTAGCCATTTTGGCTCAAGGCACCTTTCTTTTGCTCCCATGGCGGACATGGCAGCCATCGCGCAGATGTTGAAAAGCACGCAGGAGAAACAGGATCGCGACCACACGGTGATGATGTACGCAATAGGGAGCGCGGACAATTCAGTGAAAAGGCTCATGGCGCTCAAGCCGGAGGTCGACGGTGTCAAGAGCAAGAAGAGAATTCGATGGGAAGCTGCGCAGGAAGTGCGACGAGTGCATGATGGCGGTCAACAAGCTGAAGGCCGACATCGCCACTGCCTCCTCTACCTCAGAGTCTGGTGCATCGTCTTCATGGTCATATGGTCCGAAACGCCGTCGTGGAGATTTCATAGGCCCATCGTCCCCTTCTACGGCTGCTTCTACATGTGGTGATTGATTGTCGTCTAATGCAGCAGCTAATGCCCAAAATACATGCCGACGCTGGCTCGGCGCGTTGCCGAGGAAGGTCTTGGACATCACTCGCAAGCAGGTGTGGCAGGATATCGTGGTCAAACTACCGACGAACATCCCGTATCATGATGCTGCCCCTCATTTCCATCGCTCGTCTCAGAGCTTCAGTGTGTTGTGGAAGTCAGAGGAGCAAGCTACAGCATTCAGTTCTTGGTTTGGTACAGTTCGGTAACGCGGACTGATCCCAGGGGAGGTGCTGTCACACAATTACGATGTCGAGGGGACCTCCCGCACGAAGTCCGTACGCGCCAGAGGAATCTGGGCCAGGCCTGGCTCCCTCTGATGAAGCTGCTCAAGCAGAGCTGGGACATCGAAGGGCAAGCTGGTGGGCTGCTCTGGTTCCTCGAACTCACTATCTGTGACTTTGGAGACAGACGCGTGGGACCTCATTCGCGCTGATGCTGATTAACGTGCCGAGTGGGTCGGATCGGATTGTTTCGAATGGGGACTCACGCATGAGAAGATGAAGCCGATCATTGAGAAGCTCAAGTTGCAGCTGGGATTATGCAGCATTGTTTGGTGCACCGAGTGAGGCTCATAGGTAAAATCTGGAACATGTAGCACGTTTCTTCGTTTTGCTGAGAAATACAGTCCTACTTCAAGAATATCACTGACACGCTGGGGATTGAGATGCCCTCCCTCGTCTTCTCCCCTCCCATGAATGTTGCGGCTCGTTCTGTGATGACGAAATATCTGGAGGCGTTCTTATGTGCACCCATGAACATCTTCATTCTCAGTTTGAGACATAGGTTTCAATGACTAGTGTGGCGGGCAGGTGTATCACCCCGAGGTTGCCTCCAACTCTCATCTGTTCATCTCAACCAGACTCGATTGTTGAGAAGATGCAGTTCCTTCCTAGCGTGGCGAGTTCGCTCGACCCGCTGCACTCCTCTGGCTTCGTAGGCGGCGATTGAAACTTCTGCGCGCTCGGCGAGGCTAGGCGGCGCGTTGACTCATTGCTGGACAGGGCCCCCAGTGGCTCGCGGGCTAGCGGATTTGGCGGGCATTTCTTTTGCTGCACCGAACTCGCCCATGAACAGCATGCGCATTACCCACAGAAGAACGGCGACTATTGAACGCAGCTCGCATTAGTATATTATCCACCTCGCTACCTCCCTCAGTGTTCCATGATCTCACGCCTGCTGCTGGAGTTGAATGGCCGCCTGCAGAGTTACGCGAAGAGAGTGACCGCGTTCCTGTTTACGCTTGCCTGGCTGTTCAGAGGCCGAACACTTGCCCTTCGATTTCCCGCTGTGCATGTCGCCAGCCTGGGCTTGCGGAGAAGGTCGAAAAGCTGATTCAGGAGTTTGATATTTCTCAGGGCCCCGCGGCTGCCGCTGCCGAGGCGCAACCGATCGCGCGCGTCGCGCCCGAGGCAATCCGGGGCGAACCTTGCGCGAACAGCTCTAACACGATCGGCGCAAGATCTCCTGGCGTAGGGCCCATGGCAGGACCAGAAGGAAAGACGGCGCGGGCCGCGTGGATTTCGCTGTTCGAAGTTTCCCGAAGCTGTTGGATTTGCCTCTGTCGTCCTGGTCGAGCCTGGCTAGTGCCGCCACACCATTGCTGATTGTTAGCGATAAATCAGCTGCTGCGTAAGTGGGGGCTGCTGGGCTTGCAAAGATTGAAAGACTTGCCCGTGCCTGGCCCCCCGCCACAAACAGGCGACGCCCCCGGGCATTGTTGACCCCTCAGGAAATCCCGCGCCCGGCCCCGCGCGCGCCACCCATCTGCAGGGCCACTGGGCGAAATGCCAAACATTTCTAGCATTTGATTTAGCCAGCTCCGCAGGACATATTGTGGAAGATGGACGAAGAAGTATTCGATAGTTTGCGCAATGGGTCCAGAGACTCGGGGCCTGAACTGGATGGCATTCCCTGCTCCGGGCGGAGGCGCGGAGGGAATTGCGGCGCGTGAGATTTTATGCAATGTATACTTGTCACCACATAGAGACGGGGGAAACACAATATTAGTTCAACGACGCCATCCTCGCTCTCTCGCCTAAGGGCGCGCTGGAGGCAGAGACGATGAGATCGGCGTAAAATGCTCGGCCGACCGCCCCGGGCAGCTGCGACGGCGAGCTGATGCGCGGTGCTCTCGCACAACCTCTCAACAAAGTTGCTCGTCGCACAGTCGGGAGTGAGCAGTGTGGGTTCGTAGGTGAAAGGTCCCCGGTGGACAAAGTGGCGACTCTGGGTAGTAGATGCACGCAGTATGTTGTTGATGAGGGTGCTCCAGCCACCGGCATGGCTTTCTATGATGCCAGACTAGCCTTCCCGAGCTTAGCTCATGACTGGATTCTGTTTGTCTTGCATGAAGTGGGCACGCCTGATTGGCATTGTTTGATTATCCGCGAATTGCATGACAGGGTGCACATGCATGTGCGATTCAAGGGCGTATATTCGGCAGCTTCAAGGTGGGGCGTGGCGTCGGACAGAGCTGTACCCGATCGGGCCTCCTTTTGCTTTCGCTGTGGATCCTCGTGCCAGATGCATCCGAAGCGACCTTGGCGATGTCCGCGTTCACCCCTGCGCGTCTGCTGACCATCTAGGTATTGCTGCATGCGGCTTGGGAGCCGCTCGTAGGAGGATGGCCGGTAATTTCAGGGCGCTGGCGAGGATCGCCGGCCTTTTCCCGCGCCCTGCCAAGCGCCCGCTCGCGTGGCCAAATGACCAGGCGGAGGAAATCTTTCGCAAGGACTGCAGTGCCATTGAGATCAGAGTAAAAGCGAGTGTGATCGGGCGCCCTGGTTTGCACCTGGGGATCTCCCTTGGCCTTGATGGCCCTGCTCTCTCCTGGGTAGGCCCTTGCGGGGCTTTGGTGGCACGCGCCAGGTATGTCACGAGTCTCTGTTTAGGCCTTGCAGGACATGTACACATGCACGCTATATACTGTCGACTTGTTCTCCAACGTGTCTTTCAGTTCTACCCTACTAACAAGCATGCGCTGGCCACAGAACGCGAGGCTCTCCAGCGGCCCCCTGTGGCGCGCACGCATTCGCTACCCAGTGGCCTTCTCCCCGACCTTGCGACCTGTGGTCTATCTTGTCAAGGTCGCTCTGTTGTGCACAATGCGCGCGTTGCTCTGTTCCGCGCGGCCATTCGGTCTGAAGAGTTTACGCGTGCTCGTGATTTTTTCTAGACTGTTTCAGGTGCCAGGACGAGTGCCAGTTGTTCTGTATGCGTTCACCGACCTACCGCTCCTCCTCCTGTATCAAAATGCTGTTCAATTTCGAGTCTCTCCTGAATGTCCCGACGGTTCCCCCACGACCTGTGTAACCGTCCGTCTCTGGGGAAAGTGTGAAGGGTCAGCTGGAATCCCCCCCTCTTCCCTCCACTGCACGTGTGTTCAGTGCCCGTCTGAATTACTGGTGCCCCGTGCCCCCTCAGCTGCGTGAGCTGTCTCGCTGCAGGCTTGTCAGGATTGGCCATAAACTTGGCTCCTGCGTGCGAGCTCGGAGTTGCGACGCTTCCGCCACGGGAGGCTCGGGTGCCGTTTGGGCTGTTTTGATATAGGTGGTAACAAAATAGCTCGTCATATTTCGCGTCCCACTTTGATCCTGTGCGTCCGTGAGTGCCTGTCGGGATTGCCCCTAGGATGGGGAGATGACCCTATCACGTCCTGTTTGCTCGTTCATGTCTCTATGCATGATTACGACAGTCTTCTCAGCGTTGCTCTTGCCATTGATGCCCTGCGCGCCGCATTCAATGCGCAACGTGCTGCCAGGCTCTGATTGTGCCAGGTCTGCCCGTCTCTCTTTCAGAGCGAAGTTGCGTGCGCAAGCGCTCCGAAGCAGTGTGGCACGGCCTCTTGTCCGTAGTGGTCGTGGCGCGGGGCAGGGGCGAACTCTCTCATTTCCCGGGGTTGCCCCGTGGATGGGGAGATGGCCCTTTCGCGCCACTTTTTGCTCGCTCGTGTCTCTATGCGCGATTCTGTGCGCCACGCTCAATGCCTAGCGTGCTGCAGGCTCTTGCGGGGCAAGGTCTGCCCGTCTCTCTTTCAGAGCGAGGTTGCGCGCGCAAACATTCCGAAGCAGTGCGGCACGGCCTCTTTTCCGTAGTGGTCGAGGCGCGGAGCAGGGATGAACTCTTTCAGGTCGGGTCATGCCTCCTCCTCCTCTTTCCCCTCCTCCTCGTCCTCATCCTCCTCTTCATCCCCCTCCTCCTCCTCCTTTTCCTCCTCCTCCTTTTCCTCCTCCTCCTCCTCCTCCTCCTCCTCCTCCTCCTCCTCCTCCTCCTCCTCCTCCTCCTCCTCCTCCTCCTCCTCCTCTAAGGCAGTGAGGCGCTGAAGGTCTGTGAGTCTGCCGGGCGCGACCCCCCCCCCCAGGGCCAGTCGGCCAGGAAGGCCCGCGACCCGCCCGTGACCCACCCGCGACCCTTCCTGCGACGCACCCACATTGGTTTAAAGAGAAAATCGGCGCTTGCGGCGGGCGCATTTCATAATTTGTCGAAGAGAGGCTGCGGCAGGTTTTTTTCAGAGCCT